TGTGTGTGTGTGTGTGTGTGTGTGTGTGTGTGTGTGTGTGTGTGTGTTCTTAGATAAAGCGAAAGCCAGGGAGAGAGAGAGAGATTTTGTACTCCCTCTAATGCACTGGAGGCAGCGCTGTAAATGATCATTGAAGGGTCTGCAAGCTAACCTATAATTACTGGAGATAAAGTGGCAGCTCTGGCATTTCATAAGCATGCCTCCTCAAAGCTTGCTTTGTGAGTTTGTCACCAATGATCATTTAGATAGAGGCTCATTACCCAGCATCACAACACTTTAGAAACCCCTTTCGCCCCATATTTGCACGCTCGCTTGTGTGTGCATATGTGTGCTTTACCGGGAATAAAGGTCTATCTTAATGGCGAGGCTCTTTTGTTTCCTACAGACGAAATCCAATCAAGACAAAAAGAAAAAAAAGCTCATTGACTGTTATGGCTGTCTGGCTGCCTTTTTCCTTTTAATGAGGCGAACACACCAGATACATTTAATATGTCTGCTGCTGGATAATGCACCTTCAGTGGAAGAGCTGCTTTTGTGTGTCAAATGTTGCCGGGTGTTAAATTGTGTGTATTGTTTTCGGTAAACGAAGGAGACAAAGTCGTTCTGCTGGGCAAGCATCTTTTATTCTCTGCAGAAAGCCAGCGCTCAGGGTGGTGCTGAAGTTAGCCATCTCAACTGGCACAGGCCCATTGTCATGTAAAACGTGACACCACACACACCGTCATGTTGCTTCTAATTACCTCATTTCAGAGTGGAACAATGGTTCCTAACAGTATCCTATAGATAATTGTCCCAGTATAGAAATATTATCATTAAAACAAAACAGTGGTGAAGTTGATACTGTAATTATCATCCTCCGCCATTTGGATCATGGTGAAAATGAATGGAGTTTGCTGTCTTCTGCTAGCTTTGGCGTATTTGATAGATTTTAATTTTCTCTCTTTCTTTCTCTCTCTCTCTCTCTCTCTCTCTCTCTCTCTCTCTCTGTGTCTGTCTGTCCCTCCCTCCACCTCCAGGCATTTAAACAGTGAACATGCCCTCGATGATCGGAGCACAGCCCAGTGTCGAGTCCAAATGCAAGTCGTACAGCAGCTGGAAATACAAGTAAGTTTTCTGTCGAGTAATACAGAGCGAAAAAACACACCTCAGTGCAGATTTGGAACAAAGCTATATGTATTGTCACATTTTTTTTGCCATTGTCCCCATTCTACTATATAGTGAACTCGTTTTCTCATTTAAGTCACTTTATCATCCAGTGAAAACAAATTTTTCGAAAGTTATGTGAGCGAGAGAAAGGCCATACTGTGGTCTGCTTAATACTTCCAGACAAGCAGGACCTGCTGAATTCAACAAAGCCACTAAACAAAGGAATCCTCGGGCCTTACAACCAAAGCCATTATGGCTGTTTTAATTGAATTAAGCGTGTGCTTTATTTTCCTCTGCTTTCTTTTTCTCTTTCCAATTAATAGCGAGCGCATCTCTCCCGCTCTGCTGTGTTAATTAACTGCACTTTGCACCTGAAGAAAGCTCAAAAGGAGGGAACTATTTTCAGTAGGTGGAGCGTGACCTTATTAAGAAGTCACGCTGGCTAGATAATGAGAGCGCTGATTGAGCGACGTTATTACTCAGCACTGCCGACAACCGCTCCCCCTTCCTTTAGAAACAAATAGATACGTATGTTTTTAAACTAGGCTCAAACAAAGTGCCGGCTGGAAATATTCAGTCTGCCAGTTGAAACCGGGCCATCGTGCTTTGCACGGCAGCGTGTTTTGGGTCAGATATAAAAATTATTATAATTAAAATGAGATCAGTGCTTAATGATTTAACGGTAAAAGGGTTTACATTCTAAAGAGATCCATTTGGAACTTGTGTTCTCTTCCTAGTAAAGCCGAGCATTTCCTCAACCACATACGTATCTTCTGGTGTGATAAACAGTTTATATTTAATTTTTAGGCATCTGGTCTTAAAAGTAAATAAATTATGTTGGCCTGTCAAAAAAAGGAATAAAAAAAAAAGGATTTATGTTATTTTATTTCATTTTCTGTTTTTTTTGTCATTGAAACACAAATCTATTGAAGCTTGTGCTTTACAGTGTGACCAATTACAGTGCACTTGTGTTGTCTTGTCCTGTCTCTTCTCTTTCCCCCCTTTTCTTTCATTCCTTACTCCCACCATCCCTCTCTTCCTCTTTTTTTTTCCCTACGAGAGCCGTCACTAGTAATGAGGCCCAGCTCTGTCTGTGTGTGTGTGTGTGTGTGTGTGTGTGTGTGTGTGTGTGTGTGTGT